GCAGCATGGTGTTCCCAATCTGGAACTAACATTTTTGTATGCACTGTTGCATGTTGTTCCAGATTTGGAACTTGGCGTTTTTTGGCTGAACTTCAAAAGAAATGGAAGAGTATTAAGGACGCTTATAATAGAAATAAAGCGACGAACAATAAATGTTCCAGTGGATCTGGAGCTAAGCCTAGAAGACCCTACATATATTCCAATTTGCTAACTTTTTTAGACCCGCTTGGCGAAATAAGACCCCCAAGTCAATGTTCGAAGACCTCAAGTCAAAATGATGATGCAGCACAAAGGCTTGACCAAGACTGTGATTTTCAAAAGCCACATTCACCGAAGAAGTCTAAAAAGACTCCAAAACATGAAGACTCACAAGATAAATTGTATGAAGCACTGACAGCAAATCTCAAACAGTCTAAGGAAGCAAATAATACAATTTTATCTGAAAATCCCGACATGCTGTTCTTAGTTTCGTTAGCTAAAGATTTTTCTACCATCACAGAAGAATTTAAGTTAGACGCCAAAGCTGATATGATAAATTTAATTCGCAAATATAAAAATATGGGACAATCATCGAGAGCATTACATGGAAATAGTGGTGCATTTCAATACGAACATCAGTATGGATACCAATCTGGATATCAGTCTGAATTTCAGCCTCAATATCCAAGTGATCGATCAGCGCCAAGAAACGAAATTGGCAGTTCACTCCTAAATATGGATAGCAATGAATCGGTTACAAATGACTCCGATATCATATCTGATATGTATGATGATATTGAATAAATAAATCTTATTCTCTTATTCATAACCTAAGTGCACTTATAACTTTTTACGATTGATTTAGAACTGTAGCAGGTCAATAAATAAATAAATACATAATAAATAAAAACATAATAAATAAATACTGGTTGTTTTCTTACCTCAATGTGATGAGTAAACGTTCTTCTGCCGATATACATGATCTCATTACTGTATTTTGACGAGTTAACTCCGGTTTTACAATCAAAAGAAGTTCTTGGAGTGACGAATATGACATTCGATAACACTTATAAAATTTCTTCCATCTTCTATGTATTACCAATTTTTTAAACGTTGTATGATAATGACCACTCAATCTTTTTTCACTCGTAAATGGATCTATCCAATAGATTCGTTTTGTTTTTTGTTTTTTTCTTTTTAAAAGAAGTACTAAAGCCAGTGTAAGCAGTGTTGTCTCAACTGACGCCATTGTACAACTGGAGACTGGAGGAGTCTCTGATCAAAACGCAAAGGCTACGAACGACTACAGCGCGATACGCGCAGCAGACGCTCGTTTCATGATCGCCCCGTGTGCCTAGGTTACAAGATTGCGTTCAAATCTCGTTTGAAGCTCGTAAACGCGCGTCATCTGCGCGTCGCCTGCTCGTATAAAATACGCCGTGTGCTATGGGCCTAAAACTTCAACATCATGTTTTGATTTGTTCACAAACGAAGATATTATAAATATTATTACAAATTGCACCGATATACGTGAGGCGCACTTTCAGTTTCCAGAATGAATAAGAAAAAAATGCTATAAATAGTCAAAAATAAATTTATTGTTTCTCAAAATATTCTTCATTAGCGTTAATGCACTTTCTCATACGAATGAACCAATTTTGAAAACATTTATGCCACTCCTTCGTGACAATCTCTGAAACATTTTTTTCTTACCCTTCGACAGCCTCTTCAGGTGATGAAAATCGTTGACCGCGTAACTGGTTCTTAATTTTTGAAAATAAATAAAAGTCACAAAGTGCCAGGTTGGGACTGTGCGCGAGAGGGCTCATAAGGTCAACAACGTTGTTTACCTTCAAAAATTCATTTGTATGTCTGGCCGTGTGAGAACTGGCATTATCGTGGTGCAAGATGATACGGCGTTTATGGTTATTTTTACGGAGTTTGTCAATAACTTTCGGTAAACAAATGGTCGTGTACCAATCACTATTCACGGTACAATGATCTCCAAAGCAACAGTAGCCACGTGTCCAGTTTTATTAAAAAAGGAAGCAATCATCCGCTTAGAGGCACTGCACGTCCGCCACTTTGGCTGGTTTCGGCTCATCTCGAAAGGCCCATACGCGCGATTGCTGCTTTGTTTTTAGCGTACTGACGTTTCCATCTCGCCCTCTCTGCAATCTTCACCCCACGCGCTTCTTACAGTCAGACGCCATTTTGCGCGGGCGCCATATTGCTTGTTTTGTGTCGAAGAGAAGCGTTTGCGTCGATTGATTTCGGCCTTTTAAATCCACAAATACAGTACTATTGACATTGTGCTTGTTTGTATAGATGAAAAGTGTTTGCGTTGATTATTTTCCGCCTCTTCTAATCTACAAATACAGCTTCGCTGGCGTTTTCGTAATGTATCGAAAGTGTTGTGTACCCGAATGCAATAGTTTACGACAGGACGTTAAATTGCATCATATTCCCAAGAACGAGGAAAGGAAAATACAGCGGTTAAAGTGTATACGTAGTGAAAATTTTATGGGTGAAACCAAAAACATGCTTGTTTGCCATAAACATTTCGAGCAAAGGTTTCACACAGCGTCAAATCGTCTGAAGATTGGAGCTTACCCTACCTTATTTTCGGATCTGGAGATATCCTCGGGAAGACCATCAATTGCCTCCAGAGAAAGAGGTAAAATTTACTTCTAGTACCTAAATACTGAACATTTCTTTCGATTGTTAGTCTATACGTATATGTAAAATTTTATTAAATAGGTACAAAGCAAAGTATGTACAGTCAACAGCACATCAAACTACACATTTTAGTTCGAATATCGCCCCCAGTGCTATGGAACAAGATTCATCAGTGTGTAGCTTGATGTGCTGTTGACTGTACATCACACTGACTGGCAGTTATGTACAGAGAAATTTGATTTGCTAGACTTATTGAAGGTGTCTGTCTCTGTAATGTGTTAATGACCTATTATCTATTATTTTTTTAGATATATTCAGTGACCACAGTTGCTCAAGGAAGCGTCACATTGATCACTCGTACACACTACCTTATGAGCAAAGACCTAATAAAGGTGCACGAACTGAGGTTTCTGGTATGTGTATCATCCTTTTCTATGTTTTATGTGATCGCAAAAGAAGAAGCATATTAATATGAATTATTTCATTGTCTTGCCTACAATACCAGGTCAACTTGTGCCCGTTGCATCATCAAGTTCCGCACTGCACTATGCATCAGGTAATATTTGAAGTTGAATAAATAATTATTTTTATGAAAGCACGACAATGCTTACATATTTTGTTTGTTAACAGGAATACTAGTTTTACTTCTTTTATTATATTTTATAAAACATGTACTGTATCTTTTTAGCCTCAGTATGTAAAACACGACGAAAAGTAGTCAAAAGAAGGCTTATTAAGAATGTAAAGGCCTTAACACCAAGGTGCAAACTTTTATACAATGAATATAAAACAGTTAGAAACCAAAAAGACGACAACACACGAGTCAAAAGGGTACTGGCCTTCAGTAAAGCTGAGTGTTTAGAAGAAGTTCTAAGTAAGATGAACCCATTGTCGAGAAAGGTTCTGTCAATGCAAATGAAACTTTGCATGAAAAAAAAAAAGATGGCCAGAAGGTTTACAACCGAAGAGAAACTTATTGCTCTTTCAATTTACAAGCAAGGTCCAAAATGTTACAAGTTTCTCCAAAAGATATTCATTTAGCCCTCAAAATCAACTTTGAAGAACTTGATAAGCCAACTAAATATTGGTGCTGGCATAAATCCACAAATATTCGACCTTATAAAAAATCAGGTGAATATTTAATAATTACTTAAGCAAAAGTTGTAAATATTGGGAGTATGTAATAAAATTATGAAAAACTTATATTTTACTATTAAATTACAGGTAAAAAGCTGGGACAGCAAAAGAAGATAGTGTACAGTGCTATTTGATGAAATGTCACTAGAAACTGCTCTAACATATTCAAATTACAAGGACGACATTGTTGGATTTGTTGATTTAAATGGAAAAACCAACAGCTTTACAGACCACGTTCTTGTTTTCATGTTACGGGGCGCTGTCTGTAAATGGCTGCAACCTGTAGCATTCTATTTCTGTGTAGGTGCAACCTCCAGTTTGCAATTAAAAGTCATAATTAAACATATTATTGCTGCAACAACTGAAACTGGACTCAAACCAATAGCTCTTGTGTCAGACCAAGGCACAAGTTTTCAATCGGCCATAAATAATTTGTTAGAAGAAACAAAAAGAAACCAAGTGCTAGCTGGAGATAATTTTGGTAAGTTGTATTACATATTTTTAATTTTCTGTAGGATATTTAATGCAAATGAAGTGTGAAAAATGATTAATAAAATTAATTGTTCTACATAATCTTATCTTTCCTTACTTTCAGATAACACTATCAATTTCAGTGGAAACACATTAAGCGTTTTCTATGATCCACCACATTTGATCAAAGGGATCCGTAATAACTGGCTCACCAAAGACATGGTATTTGAAGGCAAAACAGCTAAGTGGCAAGATATTGTAGACGTGTACAATGCAGATTCTAAGCATGGGGAATCACGAATTCTACACAAGTTGACTGACCAACATGTTATTCGTGAAAAAATTAAAAAAATGAAGGTAATCATTAATAATTTCCAATTTAGTAATTTATAACAAAACAGTTCATTCAACCTTTTAAGGTGCTATAGTCAGTGCCATTTAGCATTTTCGTCCGCGACCGAAAAGTGAGACGATATAAAGTTTCGCAATTTTGACATCGCTTAAGTATCATAATTAAGGTGATTTAATGTACACACAACAGCACATCGGGTTACCAATTTTTTATCTTTTCATTAATGGCTTCCTTGGGCTACCCATTATACATATATATGACGTCTCTGTACACAGTGTTAGAAAGAACTTCGCCTTGTCATTATTGGAGGATTTTTTAAGATATCGAGAATTACTATTTGTTAAATATTATCGAGAATTGCTATGCAATTAGGTTTTCTTTTTGCCTGTTGGTTGTCAAATTACTAGATAGGACACAACATATCAAAAGGTTCAAAGGACACCGGCCGATGAACAGTGATTTACAAACAAACAAATTATGAGGAATATAAATTCCATTTTTAACCGGCTCAAAAAAGGAGGAGGTTCTCTATTCGTCTGTATGTTTGTTACGCGATTACTCCGCCATTTGTGAACCGATTTCAATGATTCGATTTTGTTGGAAAGGGGATACGTCAGTATTGGTCCCATTTAAATTTGAAGGAAATATTCCACCCACGGAATAAAAAACTATACAGTGGTAATGTGAAGTGGGCGTTCCCTTGTCGCCTTAGACCTGACATATTATCATTTATTTAATTATGTGTGTATGCATGCATAAATATTAAAAATATGTTTACCAAAATATACCATATAATATGAAAATTAATATTTAAAACTCGGTGCATCATATTACATAACATTACATAAAGCTTACGCCCTTATCTCATAGGTGGGGTAGGCAGAGACAATGGAACGCCACTTTACTCTATCCTGACATTCAGTGTAGGAAAGAGACGTTACATCGCCCACTTTTCGCCGCGTGAGAAATTAATGAAATTATCAAGCTACAGAAACTATAATAATAGTCATTATGCACTGAGTTATAAATATTAATTTTAATAGGAAGTGGTATATTTTGGCAAAGTAATTCAAAATTTTTATGCACGCATGCAAATAAGTAATTAAAATGGTAATAAATAAAATACATTTTATTTATAACAATAAAATGTGACATAAACAACTTATAAATTTACACTGATTTGCCTCAAATTCATATTTTTTTTAGTTATATATTATACATTAAATCACCTTAATTTTGATATTCAAGCGATGTAAAAATTGCGACAGTAAGACGACAGTTTATATGGTATCGCTTTGCGGTTGCTGACGAATTGTGGTTTCGGGATGAAGACTGGTCAATGTTCGCTATTGCCATGGCACAGACTATAGAGCTTTGTTTACTACACTGATTGTTGGCCATTTTTTCATTTGTTTTTTTCAAGGTGAATAATTGTGTGCGTGTATTGAGCAAATCAGTATCAGCGGCATTATCATACACTTCATGCTTTCGTAAGTATTACATTAAAACCCTGACACAACAGTTTTAATACACCATTATTTATAATATTCATTACTGTCTAGGAAATAAGAGCTTATTCACCAGTCAGAGAACTACCTGTGCAGTTATAAACATTATTTGGATGTCGATTATTACTTGCATTTTTTAAATTGTATTTATGTATTTTACCATTACTTATACTTACAAATTTACAAACTTGGCACTCTGAAGCCTACTCTGGCATTTTATAATTTTTTTGGGAATTGACAGTACATTTTTCAAAAATGCCCTATATAAAATCTTTGTACTTGTAGGTTGATTATATGCTCTAAGTTGTAGACCCATGTTGTACTGACATATATATTTTTTTAAAACTAGCAATCGATATAAAAAGAAGAGAAAAATCATGGTTTGCAAGGCTCACCCAGGAAATTGTCGTCTGTATCACGTACTTCCGGAATAAAAACCGTGTTTGTTTTTAAGCCAAGCACCAAGCAAACATTTTTTTATAATACACACATCAAAAGTGTCTAGGGATCAAGTACGTTTAAGAGTATTGCTGCAATTAGGGTTAATTATATTAACTTTTCTGTATCGCTATTGATACTTTTTAGTGAGTTTTAACATTTAAATAAGGAACATTGTTTAAAATTCGATAATAAGAAGAAAATCGATTGTCAATGTGGTTTTGTATAAAAAATGAGTTATAGCGTTTTGACAAAATCATTACAATATCTGCATCGGAACCGAAACAATTTACATTATTATGGAGAGACAACATCATTTAACCCGAGAAGTGATGATGCGAGCCGTCGGAATGTTGGAAGCTGGTTCCAGGGAACGTGCTGTGGCTTTCACTCTTAACACTACACAGAGCGTCATAAGTCGCCTCTGGACGCGCTATCGCATGACGGGCAGCGTGGCCGAGCGACATGGAGGACGATCTCGCATCACGACTCGCAGACAGGACCGGTATATCCAAAATACTGCTCGACGGAATCGTACCATGACCGCCATGATGTTGGTTACGAGGCTCCACAGCTCCTCAGGCTTGCTAATAAGCGATCAAACAATCCGAAATCGTTTACGTGAAGTGGGTCTGCGATCCCGAAGGCCGCTCAGAGTTCCACCTATTGCACCCTGCAATCGCAGGACCCGTTTACGATGGGCTCGCGAACACAGAAACTGGGAGGAAGAAGACTGGCGCTATGTGTGCTTTTCGGATGAATCCCGCTTCGGTATGAGACCGGATACAAGACGTACTCGAGTTTGGAGAACATCCGGACGTCATGAACGTTTGAGATATTGTCAGGAAGTTCATCCATATGGTGGGGGAACAATAATGATATGGGCCGGTATTTGGATCGGCGGAAGAACCGATCTCATTTGGGTCAGGGGTAACCTCAATGCTCAAGTTTACGCAGAGAGGATTGTTTCAGATGTTATCATCCCTTTGCGAGGCCAGTTGGGTGATTCATTTCAACTAATGCATGACAACGCACGTCCACACACGGCTAGAGTCGTAACACGCATTCTTGCCGAAGCTCGTATCAACGTTCTGCCGTGGCCTGCTCAATCGCCAGACCTCAATCCAATTGAGCACGCATGGGATATGCTTCAAAGAAGAGCTGTGCCGAGTATGCATACCGTACATACTCTACAACAATATTTTGACTTGTTACAAAACACATGGGCGGCCATTCCTCAATGTGATTTTGATGAACTCATCTTAAGCATGCCAAATCGCTGTAATTGTGTGATTCGTGTTAATGGTGGAAATACAGATTATTAATTTTCTTATCTTTACAATAAAAATGAGCAAAATCATCATTTTCGCCATTTTTTTGTCATTTAATTGACGCCGTTAATTTGAGTTTTTTCCCACAATTTGCAAAAACATCAATTTTAGTTTATTTTAATTAAATATAGGGGTAAGCGGTTAAATAAAACATAAGCATTAAAGTAAGAAGTCGTCCTGGAAGACTGGATTTGGTAAATATTGCTTAAATAATTTTTATTTCAAAAATATTCACTTGATCCCTAGACACTTATATATATTTTTTAAAGCGGGCGTTTTGACACATGACATTTGCATTTTACTGTAAATTTTTGTAGCGTTACGTCAGACCGACGACACGGGCGCTTAAGCTCTTTCGAAATGAGCTGTTTTAAATAATTGAGTTTAAATAGGAAAACGACATTGTATAAAAAGAAAATAGGTGTTTTAAGTTTGATGTAGATTCAATTTAAGTTATAAAAAATATACGTAAACAAAAGTTTCTATTGTCAATTGCTTAAAATTCTTAAAACCATTTTTTATAAATTATGCATTATTTTTTATATTTTTTTTTTATAAATTATGCATTATTTCACATCAGATATTACGTTTATTTATTTTTTCTTCCTCCTTTCCATTACTGGAACTGCAGGAATACAAAATGTGATCAGAAAATTTAAACTCCAAGCATTCCAGGCATTAACTTTTTATATATTATTTCAAATGATTGGTATTTTAAATTGAAACGCTAAATATTTGATTATTTTATTTTTAGCTTTGTATTCAGATGGGAAGCCTGTGAGTCCCACAATGAAGACAACGTCTGAAGCGGTTTCCTTTTTTGACGACCTTTTTGACAGTGTAAACGGAGCAAAAACTATGGTCAAAAAAACAAAAGGAAAAGGTCTATTAACAGCCGTCAGCGCAAAAACGCAACCCCATCAGTATTGGAAGAAAGCCATAAAAATTTAAAAATATCTAAAGTTTGTGACGAACGAAAAGTTAGAGAAAAGTGCGCCATCGTTAAGAAATTGGGTCGTTACTCTCAAAAGCTTTCAAAGGGTGTGGGGTTCCTTAAAAAGACAAAATATCAAAATTTTTTAGACCAAGATATTTTAATTCGGATCCCCTTGAAAACTTTTTTGGGCAAGTTCGTGCATACAATTATAGGTGTAACGACCCAAGTGCATATGCATTTATTAACACTTTTAAATCTTTAATAATCACAAGATTTATGAACTTTCATTCAGAAAATTTTAACTGTGAAAATGAGTCGAGCCAAAAATGATTAAATATTCAGTCCTTATTTGATAAGAAATATGTAAGCACTGCACCAGTTATTACTGATGATGATACACATTCTGATGTTGAAGTCTTAAAAGAAGCATTTGATCATCAAAATATTGAAATACAGGCTAGACGGTAAAGATTGAATATCCATTCGAGAGCTTACACTGTTGGATGGGTGATAAGAAAAATTTTATCCAAAATTCATCGTGAATTTTGTACAAAAAATTTGATCACTGAAAATGAAAATTCCACTCATGCTTATGTTCAACAAAAAGAATATAGATCAATTAAACAAAAAAGGTTGTCCTATCCAACAGAAAGTGCTGTGATAAGTTTCGGGAAAATTGTAGAGACTACAAACGAATATTTGGAAACTAATGGACAACAAAATAATATAAGTAAAAAAAAATAAAACCAAAAATAGTTTCCAAATATTCGTTTGATTTCCTTAACTGTGAA